AACAAGCTTTTTATAAAAATAAGTGAACAAGTAAACATTTTCAAAGGCGGGGTCACAAATAGACTATCTACATCTATAGATAATCTATTATACAGTACAGCAGTAATGAATGCAGGCACACACACACACACACACACACACACACACACACACACACACACACACACACACACACACACACACACACACACGACACACATACATTTAATAGCAAGTTATTGTAATGATTATTGTCTTTCTTGTCACTCATGTTGCTGTGAAAATATTATAATCAGTAAAGCAGAAATGACCACACCGCAACCAAATACTATTGCTCCCCCACTGAAGGCCAGAGATAAGCAGCGACTTCTTTCTGCGGCTTCCGTGTCCCCACGAAGTTCTTCATCTTTTGCCTTAAAAGGAAGAAATATCATATAAATCAGTTGAGGGTATAGATTTATATATACTCTACAAGAAACTGAAATTGCCATTAAGTCTAAAGATGCATTTCAATAACAATGACAAGTTTCATAACATTCAAACACAAACAGCAATTAAGTGCAATTGCAATGCATTATACCAGAAGGGGGGCTAAAAAACATTTGAGCAATGTTGTACAGTGAAACCTGTCCTAAAGGTCACCTGAATAATGGGGTCACCTCTCTATTACAGCCATAAGCCAAAATCTCGTACTAAATGGCTGTATTACAGAGGCTGATCTGTAATGCAGCCACCTGCATAATGAGGCCATTTAAAACTGGCCCAAGGGTGACCTGATTAAGCAGGTTTCACTGTACTTAAATATACAATTATGTATATTATGTTGTTAAGGAGAAGGAGCTTGTTGCCAGCAGCCAAGTAACAAGTTACCAAAAAAGAACTGATTTTTAATTTGCACAACACAACACAAGTAACTACAATAGAATAGAAGGATACAGTACTTACTTGACTAGCAAATACCATGGCCGGAATGGTACACAAAAGAACCAAAAATGTACCACAGAAGAAGCAAAGAACAGTCAAAATGACAGCAAAATTTAAATAGTAATCACTTGAACTGGACTGGCTTGTCTGTGCTAGGTAATTAGGCATTGGTTGCCTCACAGTGACTACATGGTTCTGGATAATAGTTTGGTGTTTAAAAAAGTGAACTTTAAAATCCATAA